ATGCCCATCAGTCAGCTTTCCATTCTCCTGTTCATTTTATCCACCCCCCCTTTAATTTTAAAGGGCCTATGGTACTTACTAAAGAAAACCTGAAACATTTAGCAAAGAAGGGGAAATTGTCCACCATAGTCTACACGCACCAATTCTAAGCCAGATGGGACACATCTGTGCATGAATAAAGTCTCTAAAATGCAGACATGGTTTCCTGAAGAGGTACAGGAAGGAGCCCTCAGTCAGATGGCCTCATAGGCACAGTGATGACACACACATCTTAGGCCAAGCATGGATCTGGCCTTTATGGGAAAAAGTCTCCTACATTTTCTTCTGTAAACAATAAGGGAAAAATGGACAGAGCCACCTACTTGAAGGCTGCAAAGTTCTCCTACCTTTTTTTTTTTTTTTTTGAGACAGGGTCTTGCTATGTAGTGGATGCTGGCTTTGAACTCACTTATGCAGCCCAGGCTGGCCTCAAATTCACAGTAATCCTTTTGCCTAAGTCTCCCGAGTGCTGGGATTACAGGTGTGCACCACCATACCCAGCTCTCATATCTAAAAGATGCTCTACACTCAGTTAAAGGACAAGTGGCAAACTGGGAAAAACATTTGGAATAGAACTAACAAAAATTTTATGTTCAGATGAAATGAAGAACTCCTAAGAGCCAAGAAAAAGACAGGAAGTGGGGGCGCAGCCCTGGGTAGTGTGTGTTTAGCACGCACAAGCTCCTGGGCCTGATCTCCAGCACCAAAAGAGAAAAACAAAGAAATAAAGACAAGAGAAACATAGGCAAAACACAAGACTAGAAAATCCACAGGACTCAAACTCCCAATAAACATGTGAAAAGAGAAACACACACTAAAACAGCAGCGAGCTGCACTTTCCTCCCTTGGCTTCCAGAGCACCACACTGGTTTCCGGGTTTCCTCCATGCTTCAGGTGCTCCTCGGGGGTCTATTTCTGGGCCTTTCTTAAGCCCTTAACCTTGGAGCACCCCAGGTGCTGTCCTTTGTCTCCTTTCTTCTTTGTCTACAGCCATTCACTTGAAGCCTTCTCTAGCCCCACGTCCTCAACCTGTCTCCCTGGGTTGCTGCTCTTCCAGACTTTTGAGAACACTGCAGTGCACTGGTTGCTGTAAGAACCGGTCATTTTTATGTTTGGCCTTGGAGGAATTTCAAGGATTTATGTGTATACAAGCTTATGTATATGCATGACGTTATTTCTATAGGTACAAACACATGCATTTATGGATGTAGGCAAAGCAAAGCTCAGTGATACACTGAGATGTTATCAGTACTCAGGGAGTGTGAGATCACTAGCATTTTTTTAAATGTCATTAACACCATCGAATAGATTTAAAACTACCTGTATACTCTCATCTACACAAATAAACTAGATGTGTAACAACAGTTTACATGGATTAAAGTCCATCTACACTTGGAATAATATACAACCTTTAAAAAGCATGCTGGCAATGACATTTACCGACGTGAGACAATTCTCATCAGTCGATGCCAGATAAAATAGTAGGCGATGCCAGACATACAGTCTATATAGCCCGGCGCCAGTTTTATATATTTTAAAATAGAAAACTGCCTGCGCCTAGCGAAAAGACTGGAAGGAAATGCATCCACATGTTACCTGTGCATCTCTCCAGGTGCTGGCGTGGAAGGCGATTCTGAGCTTCTGTTTTTGGTTTTTTTTTTTTTTCAGTTTCTGCAAAAATGTGGGTTAATTTTATCTTAAATCTTAAAAAAAAGAAAAGGAAAATATGGTTGTTCTTTTCCTGCGGCAGACCGCAGTCCACCTGGCGAGGTGGAGGCTGCCCGCGTCCGGGTTGGTCCAGTGGGCAGCAGCGCCCCCGGTGGCCTGTCCAAGGCGGCTGGAAAGGGGTGGGCGCGCAGGATCGGGAGGCGGCGCCGGGCGTCCCCGCGCTTCCCGCGAGATCCCGCTCCACCGCTCCGCCCCGCGCCGCGCTCCC